TGTCTTTGCTGGTAATGTCCTTCTGCCTACATCCTAGCCGCCTTGCGGTGGAGGCTCGAGAGGGCTCTAATGGCAATATGTACGGAGGAGTGAGTCCTCTGACAGATCGGTGTACGCGCATATGCCGCTATATATATGTATATATAAGTAGCTGCGTTTTGAGATTTGAAACCATTTATACATCACGTGAGATTGCTTCCTCAACAACAATATTCCTCAACCATTAGGACGTTTTCTTAGCTATGTACTACTCCTTTACAGACTAGGCAGAGGGGTGAGGAAAATCCGCAGGAAGTAAGAAGCGTGGAATGCTCTGACTTTACAGGACTTCATTATTCTTTAGTTTTAATGATGTGTTTCCTCATAGCAGAACTTGAAGTCACCAAATTATCTGATGCAGCAGGAGGTAACCATACATAAAAATGTAGTTTTGAGGGAGATTTTGTTCGCTTGGAGATCGGTTCCTATGAGGTGACGATACAGTGAGTCCTGAGATGTTGAACGTATTGCTTGGTAAATGGAAATGGACTAATTCGAATTATATACGTAAAGTAAGAATGAATACTCGTCTCGCCATCTGGAGCGATCCCCCGCCCACTTCTGGCCTGAGATGTGCACATGCACCAAAAAAACATTTGCGCGGTCAAGAAGGAAACGAAGAGGTGAATGAGAGTGCCGTGAGAAAATGTAGGCGGGAGGGGGGCGACTAAGACTTGACATTAATGACCTTAAGAGCGGTGTCGCTTCCCTGAGGCCGTTTGCTCACAACGTCCCCACTGGCTCGATAAAGAGTCAGTGTGAGAGCAGAGCCTAACAGAAAGAGGACGTGCAAAGTCTACAACTTGCAAAACCATTAAAAGAGAAAATAAAACCAGTAACTTCTTAAAAGCTATCCTTTAGGCGTAAGGATTTGCCTTTTCAGAGTTGAAACCCTTACAGGATTACGTGAATTCGCTTTTTCAACAACAATATTGCCCAATCATTAGGGCACTGCCAATAGAGGAGAATATCCGAGTTCCAGCAAGCAGTTCAGAAGAACAACTTGTAAACTTTTAAACTTAGTACTACTCATTTACAGACTAATAAGGAGGGTGGGGTATGTCCGTAGGAAGCAAGAAGCGCCGCATCATCATCCTTTCGTGTACATGCCGTGCTTTCTCATAGCAGTCACCAAATTATCTGATTTAACAGGAAGAAGTCCTATATAAAAGGGTCGCTTTGATGGAAATTCTGTTGACTTGACGACCGATTCCTATAAGTTGGTATAACGCTGCGAAGATGCGACACCTAAGATATATTGAAAGTTCTGTTCGGTAAATGGAAACGGACTAATTCGAACTACAGTAGTCGCCGAAAATCACGCAACATGCCGATATATGCGAAAGATCGATACTCTTTCGTTAATCGGCATTGACTCAGGTTGTGATACTGATTATCGTG